TTTTTAAATTAAATTAATTAATACTTTTTTTGAGACAGGTTTTCTTTGTGTTAACAGCTCTGGTTGTCCTGGATCTCACTCTGTAGACCAGGCTAACCTCAAACTCACAGAGATCTGCCTGCCTCTGCCTCCTGGGTGCTGGGATTAAAGGCATGTAACCATGCCTGGCCAAGGATGCTTGTTTAAACACGTAGCAATTTTTGAGAAAGGGTCTCATACAGCCTAGGTAGATCTGCATCTGCCTTGCGAAGAGCTGGGATTGCAGGCATCTGCCACACACTTGATTTATGCCGTGCTGGGGATAGAACCCAGTGATTTGTGCCCATGTGGAATGCCTGCATTCCATTTACAGCATTGCAAAAATGGAGCAGATGGAACAAAGCAGCCATTCTGTGACTGTTAGTGTGGGGCCAGATTTGGCATCTCTGGTGTATGTGGAAAGGGCCAGTGGAAATTTGAGACATTCTCAATATGGAAATGGGGAGGAGATACTGAAACCCATTGAAAAGTCATATCATCAACTCAGACTTGTTGGAGGCAATTGGTCAGCATGTTTGAATCTGCGCACTGGGTCACTGTTAGTGGCTAGGGTGAGGTGTCTTGACTACTGTGTGTGTTGGGAATGTACTGAATGAGTACCTCAGAGAAGCCTGTCAGAATGGGTAGGACTTCATGAGAAAGGGCTCTTGAGTTGGGGTCTTGAAATCCTACCTCTCCTTTAAGACAACATTGAACTGACTTAATTTTGGCTTTTAACCTGTCTTTGTTACTAATTCTGGGTGACCAGATGGGCCCTCAGTAGTTGGCTATAGACATGATCATTTGGCCTAGGTGTCCGAAGATAACAGAGTCATTGATTGCCCTGACATTTTTTTTTCTGTTCTGAACAGTAGCTGATGAGCTGTGAAGTTGACATTTGCTTAATTTAACATAACTTTATCCCACAATAGCCAGCTGAAGGCATTAGAGAGGTTTTTAGAAGATGCTAATTATATCTTGGGCTTGTACAGACATTATGTCAGTTCTGGTGGTGTTCGCTTCAGAGAACCTTCTATTTTAATGTGTTACATACACCTGAATACAGAGTCTCAGTTATGTATAGGTCTCTAGATGGGAGGTTCTAGCTGTGATTGTGGGGAGGTGCCGAGGGAGAAACCACATAGTAATGCACTTGATTTCTTCTCCTTGTGCAGTCGAGGCTGTCTGTCAACAGTGTGACTGCGGGAGACTACTCTCGGCCCCTTCACATCTCTACTTTCATCAATGAGCTGGATTCAGGTTTTCGCCTTCTCAATCTGAAAAACGACTCCCTGAGGAAGCGCTACGATGGCTTGAAGTACGACGTGAAGAAAGTAGAGGAGGTGGTCTATGATCTTTCCATCCGAGGCTTCAATAAGGAGACAGCAGCAGCTTGTGGGGAAAAATAGGAGCTTCTCCCTGCGGCTGGCCTTGCCGACTTGGCATTTGCCAGGGAGGGCTAGCACAGTGCCTCTTCCTGTAGTTAGCACGCCACTTGCTAAACACTGCGCTTTATTTTCGTAACCAGCTGTGTGGCGTGAGTATCAGAATTGAGATACTTTTTGGATCTAAAAAACCTTTCCACGGATAGGATTTTCTTTGTTGAAGTTTCAGTGAACTTGCTGTGTAATTTGTTGTATTGCCATTTTGTCCAAAGTGTAATTGTCGGTCTCTTGGTAAAAGTCCTTTTCTTGGCTTACTCGACTGTTGATGTACTGATTGACAGGTTTGTTGTCTTGTTCATGATTCTTCTGAAGTGACCCATGAAATTTTCTAGGTCCAAGTCCTCCATTCCCAGTCCCAGCCTGGGTACAGTGTGAGAATAGTTGACAAGCAGGGGAACTTGATTTTCCCTTTCTTATTTGAAGCCTTGTAAATTAGTTGATTTTTTCCCCCAAGGAAATTAGAGGCCCCGATTCTTTCACTGCCATCAAAATACAGCAGATGAAACTGTACAGTCCAACTCAGCAAGGCCAGTTTAGAAAGGTCTGTTAAGAGATGTCTCTGGTTCTTTAGAAAGGTCTGTTAAGTGATGTTTCTGTTTCATTAGAGCACCTTGTTTCCTGAGGTCACCTAATGACCTGCCTGCCATAGTAGTTATAGTCACCACACCTGTCTTGAGCTAACACCCATGTGCTGTGTTGGTAAACCGTGAGACATTTTCCCAGCAGCCAGTTAGACCTGGTCTCGGAGTAGAAAGCCATCCTCGTGCATTCATTCATTAGCTGTACCCGAGGAGTGTGTTCTTACAGAAAACAGTGCTGTTTGGTGTGGAAGAAAGTAAAATTGGCTTTAAAAAATCCATGTGATTGGTAGTATTTTTTTTGGAATAAGAAATTTCAGGTTTTGTTGGGTGGTAGTGGTGCACGCCTTTGATCCCAGCACTCGGGAGGCAGAGGTAGGAGGATCTCTGTGAGTTCAAGGCCAGCCTAGTCTACAGAGTGAGTTCCAGGACAGGCTCCAAAGCTACACGGAGAAACCCTGTCTTGAACCACCCCACTCCAACCCCCGCCCCCAAAAAAGAAAAAGAAAGAAAATCCAGGTCTTGATGCTCTCAGTATGTTTTAAATGTACAGTTCAGGGTATCATGTGAGCGTGTGGGCTCCTCCAACCCTTCTCCTTTTCAGATAGTGTAAGAATGCACATACAACTGCTGTTCTTGGGGCAGGACCGAAGTATTAAAGTCACAGCTGGCCATGTAGCTCAGTGGTACAGCACGTGCCTGGCAGGTGTGAGGCACTGGGTCCATCCCTGGGACTTTAAAACAAACAAACAAACCCAAAATCCAACAATAAAAATCCCTAGTTTTTTGGCACTCTCTGAAAGGAAGCTGTTGGCATTTCCAGTGTAGTAAGTATTTAGGAATGTACCCTTTCTTGCTTGCTAGTAGTTGGGGCTTCATGTTTGTGCAGTGGGATATTTGACACTGGCTCTTATCAGGCGGTGGTTAAAGACTGACTAGAGAGTGGGGCCAGGAAGTGCAGGCCTGTACTCCCAGCTGCTCAGGAGGCTAAGGCAGGAGGAGGAAAGTCAAGGCCTCAAGACTTGCCGGGCTGACTGAGTGAGACCTTGTGGCAAAAACAACCAAAAAGGCTAGGGGAGTGTTTGAATGATCGTGTTTTCCCAGCATGTTTGAGGCCTAGGTTCAGCCCCTCATTTTCTGTGGGCTGGGGTGAGGCTGACTCTTAATTTCCCATCATGGGGCACAAAGGTAGGGATGAGATGTGTTTGCTGTATATTGTTGGACATGTAGACTAGCTTTCTTCATGGTTCTTTTTGCAGGCTTAGAGCAAGTTATTAGACTATTTTTTGTTAGTTTGCCCTTTGAGACAGGGTTTAGCTCCTAGTCCAGGCTGGCCTGGGACTTGCACCTCTGTTTCTACCTCCTGAGTACGGGTTTAGGCTCTGTAAAGTGTCTGAGAAGGTTGTTTCAAATGCTCAGTCATAGCACGCTGGACTGAGGAGGTTTTTCGGCCACACCTTCACCTAGAGAAGGAGATTTCACAGGTCCTTGCTTTGTTGCTTCAGTGTGAGCTCTGCTGGGCAGCAGTAAAGCTCTTGCCAAAAGTTTTAGATTTTCCTACTTAGAAAATGAGGGTGTGCTGTAGTGTTGTCTAGACTGGTCTCAACCTCTGGGCTCAAGCCCTCCTCCTGCCTCAGCCTGCCAAGCAGTTGGGACGCTAGGCCAGTGCCACTGTACCTACCAGACTCTTGAACTTGAGTTTTAACAAATGCAATGAAATTGCATTTAAAGCAAAGGCATACGTTCTGGTCTTGTAATTCCATTTGAGAGTTAGATCTGGTCTTGTAATTCCATTTGAGAGTTTAGAAGTGTCATGTTGATGATTAGTTGTGTTTGTTGCTGGCTTGTAAAGCAATAAAACTGTTTTTGGTCTCTTTGTAACTTAGTGTGCTTCTCTTCTCTGGGGAGAATGAATTGTTACAGTTTCTTTGATGCTGAAGCAGCCTAGAGTGGTAATCGTGTGCTGCTGTGTGGTAGTGACACTAACCAGGACACTAGCCACTCCCAGGGCTTTAATGGAAAGTACAGGTAATGTCTGTGATCTACCTCCACCAGGAAATGAAAGGTGTTTGAATTGAAGATGTCAGGGAAACCTCCCTTCTGGTTTTAGTATACATTTTTGTTTTGATGACCAGGTGGATTAAATCCAGGGCCTCACATATGCTAAACATGCATTCTACCACTGAGATATACAGCTCCCAGAATTATTCTTCATTTATTTTTTGAGACAGGATCTCATGTAGCCCAGGCTGGCCTTCAGTTTGCTCCATAGCTGAGGATGGTTATAGACTTCTGATCCTCCTGCCTCTAGCTCTGGAGTACCAGACTAGCAGGTGGGATCCACAATACTGTCAGGGTAGGATCAAGTCCAGTGTTTTGCACATGCTAGGCAAACACTCTACCAATTGGTGTATAGCCCTAGCCTCAATTGTTTCTCAATTTTAAAAAAGCAGATAGGGCAGCTAAAGAGATGGCTCAGCAATTAAGAGTATTATGGCTCTTTCAGAGGACCTGAGTTGGGTTTCCAGCACCCACATCAGTCTGGTGGCTCAACTGCTTGTAACTGCAGCTCCAGGAAATGTGATGCTCTCTTCTGGCTTCCTTGGGCAATTGTACTCCAATTCTTACACTCCTAGATACACATGTGTACATATAATTAAAAATAAAAATCATATAAAACAACAACAGAACTATAAAAGAAAACCAGATAGAGCCCAGCATGATGGTTCAGTGGGGAAAGGTACTTGCCACTAACCTTATAACCTGAGTTTAATCTTCAGGACCTCAGGATCCCACATGGTGTAAGGAGAGAATGGACTCCCACAAGTCCTCTGGCTTACACATTAATGTGCACACATATAATAAATCAGCTGTAATCAAAGTTTCCTAAGAAGAGAAAGAGGTACCAGAAAGACATCCAAGCTCCTAGGCAGCTGAAGAAGAACTGCCCTGGCTGTGTTCTTACTGAAGCTTTCTTTATTTGGATTGAACTGTTTTTCTTTCAGCTGGAGTTTCCTAGCCATGCCTGACATGAGGGCTTTTCCCAAGCCTGAAGTAGTTCTTCTTAGTATCCAGCTGTATTCGGGTTTCTAGAGGAACAGGACTCTTGGAATGAATAAATTATAAAAGGGGATTTATTAGATTGGCTTACTTGTTTAATACAGACTACTTAGTTCAACAATGGCTGCCTACAGAGGCTGAGGCTTAGGCCCCCAAATGTGGATGCTTCAGCACTAAGGCCTGGAGGATTCCTGAGAGCTGCTGGAATTCCAGTGAGTTGGAAGGCTGAAGAAGGTGCGTCTGACTTCAGTGAATGGTGACTGCTGATGGCGGCAGCAAAGTCGATGCTCACTCATCAGAGAACGAAACCGGCAGGGCTGCTGCCAGAAGGCGCTGCCACTTTCGGAGAGGGTCTGCTCCCCTTAGTCTGTCCTTCCTGGAAATACCTTCAAGGACCCAGCTAGGGATGTCCATGATTGATCCTATGTCCAATCAAATTGATAACCAAGATGAACATTAACTGTCAAGGCCACTACAGTAAGCACTGTACAAATAAAAACAACCACCTCACCAGGCAGTAACCCACACCCACACTGTGAAGTTGTGTTTAACTGCTAGTACTGGTTGGTTAAATAAGGATGAGATGGGTAACTTAGACTAAGGTGCAGTTAACTCAGCTGGGGAGTGGAGGAGGAACGTTGTCTGCAGGGACCACTGGTAGTTAAAGCGTTACCCTCGGATATTTGGGCATGAAGCTGTGTAGCAGCTAGCTGGTTGGTCAGAAGTGGGCAAGCTCCACAGAGAACATGTGAAGTGTTGAACATGAGTTGAGGGTAGAAACCTCAGCTAAGGGCATGGTTTAATGAGTTGGGGGCTGGGGAGATGGCTCAGTGACTAAGAGCACAAGTTGCACAAGCTTGAGGACCTGAATTCGGATCCCCAGTACCAAGTTAAAAAATACCCCAAAACTGGGTTTGGCTGTGACTCTAGCAATGTTGGGGATAAATGAGAGAATTTCTGGGGCCTGCAGCCTGCAAGCCAACTCCAGGTTCAGTGGGAGACCCCATCTCTGGGGAAGGGGAGTCTGATAGAGCAGGACACTTGACATTCTCCTTGGGTCTCCACCTGTACATAGGTGAACATTTGGGACATGCATGTGAGCAGATGCCATATCCCACCCCAAAACAAAACAACAACCAAATCCATTAGGCAGAGGAAATAGATCGGAGGGGTTGGCAGAAAAGGAGTGGTTGTCACAGAAGCCAGTAGAAGTTAACAGTCTTACAAGATTTTGGGAGAAGAGTTGTATTTTCTTGAACAGTTAACATTTGTTGACAGTTCCCTACCTGTATGTAGTTTTGATAACTGTCTCTTTGCCTCTTGTCTCCCTCCTACCCCAAATACCCTATCACCATAGTCCCTTTCTCAGGTTCCTGTCTGTTTTGTTCTGTAATTCATGCCTGCTCCTTCCTTAGTGTCTTAGTTAGGGTTACTATTGCTATGATGCAACACCATGACCAGCAGCAAATTGGGGAGGACAGGGCATAGGACCATCAGCCCAGGAACAGCCCCACCCACAGTGGGCTGGGCCCTCCCCCATCAGTCACTAATTAAGAAAATGCCATGCAGGCTTGCCTGCAGCTGGGTCTTACATAGGTATTTTCCCAGTTGAGGCCCCCTCTCAGATGACTCTAGCATGTGTCAAGTTAACATAAACCAGCCAGCACACCTAGAATCCATCAGTAGCATATAGTTTGGCAGGGAAGGGTTGGGTCGCATGGGCTTGATGTTAGGGTCTGTTGATAGGCCTCGGACAGGCCCACTGTAGGAAGCAGCTGCTGCTGGGGGATCATGATTGCATGGACTGTGTCATGCCTATAGGGTAGCGCTTCACAGCTCTACTGACTGCTACTGTTCTCTTTCCTGCATTTGTGTGCTGCAGTGGGACTCCTGGAGGTCAGAGGACAGCTTGCAGGAGCCCAGTTTTCCCCACTGGTGGATCCTGAGGATCAAACTCAGGTTGAGAGATTTATAATATGGCATCTCATGGCCTTAGAACCAGGTGGTTTGGGGCTGTAGGGTAGGTTAGGTGGGCTATGTTGTACTAATGCTGCCAAAGTCTGTAGGCATTGCCTGTAGGTGGTTTCTCTCTGACTCATGGTCCCTGTGCAGTGCAGGTTGGCTGCTATTGTTCCCTAGGCTTGACAGCTACAAACCTGGCAATGGCTGGTCACAGGGAGAGGCAAAAAGCTGTAGAAGTTCTCGCACGTGCCCACACATGCTCTGGCTTGAAAATGACACATCACCTTTAGAGTCGGTTCCTGTGAACTAGACTCATGGCCCTGTTAGACTATAAAAAGCCAGGAAGTGAAATCGTGTGGTGTAGGATGGGAATTCGAGCTGGTGAGTCACTATGAAGGTAGGAGGAACGATTATTCAGTGTGCTTCCGGACACACCAGTGTCACTGGGCTTGAGTCCCAGGGTGACAAGAAGAGGTGGATCTGTAGGTTCCCTGCTTGTGAGATTGATAGATAGCAATTGAGCTAGTGTTTGTGTTGAGTTTAAAAGTGTGTTTTGTACCTTTTTTTTTTTTTTGAGAAAAGGCCTCATATATCCAATGCTGATCTTTAACTTCTTATGTAGCGGAGGATGACCTTGAACTTCTTCATCTTCTTGCTGTGATAGCTAAGGAAAACTGCCTGCTAAGTATCTGGAATTGGAACTACATGGGGGATGCCCTTATGTCTTGGTCTGTGTCCTCCCCGCCCCCCATATATATGAGAAAAAGAGGAGAAAACATTACTTGTCAAGTAAAGTCCTTGGCTCTTACTTCTGAGTGTTACCATAGGTCCTTGTATCGTAAACTGGCTACTTACATATAAAAAGGAGGGTCAACACAGTTAAGATATCAGCCTTTAGACTCACATAAATATGACCATTGATTGGATTTATAGGAGCCAGAGCCTGTAGGGAACAAGCAGCTAAGGACTCCATCTTAGAAGTTTGAAGTTTGAGACAATACCAGGAGAAATTCCAGGAGTGCAAGACTCTCTCTCTTCACACTTGCAAGAGTAAATTGTGGCCTTTGGCTTGAATAGCAGCCCTCCCCATTTAGCTGGGCCTCAATTCCAAAGTCAACCATGGGAACTGAGGACAGTTGTAGCTTAAATAACAATTGGGCTAATTACAACTTGATAGAATTAGGGTGGCTTCTGGATGTTTTCTGACTCTTAACACTGCCTCCACCCTCCTCAGAGCTGGGGTTCCAGGCTTGTACCACCATACCTGTTTTTTTTCTGGTGTTATGAGATGAAACCCAAGGTTTTGTATCTGGTAGGCTCTGCACATTGAGGTGGGCTGTATGTGCTTTTTGGTTTGGAGAAGAACTTTTCTTGACTTCAAAAGTTCTGAGCTGTGAAGCAAGCCCAGTTACCTTTGAAATTTGTATTGAAATGATTTAAGGAGGTGGACTCTTGGTGAGTTGCCCAAGCTGGCCTTCAGCTGGAGGCTTCCAGATAGCTGGGCTGCAGGCATGTGCTGTGGTGTCTGCTGTAACTGTAGCGTTGGTGTTCACATAGACTGTTTCCCCCTTGATGATCTCTTGTGATCAGCTGTGACCTCACAACAAACACCTTTGATCTGCAAATAAGCACCTTTGATCGAGTGTAGTTGTCTTTAAAATTAACATGAAAATAAGGGGAAGGTTTGGCTTTTCTTTAAGATTTTAGGGTTTTGTGTCTTATGTTTCTTGTCCTTTGTGATTAAATATCCTGACAAGAGCAACCCAAATAGAAGCAGTTTATTTGGGCTCTCAGGTCAAGAGTCCATATATCACAGTGGGGAGCCAGAGTAGCTGGAGCTTGAAGCAGCAGCTCACATC